ATCCATATATGCAGTATTGTGTTTAAAAACTGATCAGAGATGTTTCGCAAAATACATCTACGATATATGGGTTTCCGCTAAGAGGGGTGTGAACGAAAAAAGATCTTGGTCTCTGGCAAACTCCCAACTTGCCGCTCTTCGGTCACCGTAAATGGCGGTCAAAAATACAGTAAGCATTATGCCCGGAATCATGCGCCCTTTGTAGTCTTTCCTCCCCAACTCTCCGCGCGAATCTTTGGCGCGTTTGTTAGACCACACACGGAACACAGAATGACAGTGCGGATGCCTTGGATAAAGAAAGACAGTGACCTTACCGAACAGATACAACGGAAGACGAAATCAATAGGTGCTTTTTGGAATCGGGCATGTCCAGAAAGGCTGATCAAGCTCAACGTGTTTGCTCTATGCTATAGAAATGGGGGTGCGACATGCTTTGGTCATCCCCATTATCTGTGAACCTTAGTGTTCGCCTAAACTCGAAAATTTTTTCCTCTTTTTCGAAAAGGAGAAAACTTCGCGGCCATCCGTACGAGGCTGAATGCGAATGTGCGCGTAAAGAACAAAAACAGATTCCATTGAGCCTTCGGGCAGTGCGACCGTGGAACTCGCTAGTGAACGGGACTGTGACCGATAATATCCGGCTGTGTTCGAAGGGTGATTGAACGGTCTCGCTTTTCTATGAAGAACGTCTATTTGGACAAGACAGTCTATGGCCGGTAGTAAGGTTAACTACCTGGTTTCATTCCTTTATCAAATCATTGGACGTCTGATGTGAAAAGCCGCCGTTATCTTTGCAAAAGATCATATTTTATACTATCTGTATACAATCGCATTTTTTAAATGTCGGTTTTACATCAATATGGACCCCAGGGGCTGAACTCGCAACCCACAGTTACATATATATGATGATGTATTACATAATTAAAACATCGCGCTCGATGTAAATTGCCAAAATGTGATCACCCGATTCAATAGTAAAAAGTAAGTATTTTGGCAAGATGCGGAAGGAAATTTCTTGAAACTCTGATTTCAAATAATTTTACCAGACCTCGACAACTAAAAAAACCCTGCGATGTTTTTTAAACAACAATACATATTTGGGAAGACCCTATGCTTTGAGACAGAGTCAAATATGAAATAAATCTCTGACGCCTTAAACAATACGTCTAGGCATATGGAAGAATGAAACTTTGATAAGGTAATGGTGTCCACTCTGGAGAGACCTCTTACCGGATATAGAGGGGAGGGCACTCTTTCAGGGATTCTGAGAGAACAGTTCACTGACAAATGGATCTCATCGTGCTTTAGCCTCGAACCTAGATATTCAACAATAGTTAATTGTTAACCCCTTGCCTATTTCTTGTCAATCCCGAGGCTCTTTTAATAATCGCCGACTTCGATATACGTGCATGTCGGACAGAGATGTCCCCCTGTACAGGAACGGAACTAGGCGGCCAGTTTCGGTGTGGCTGCCGGAAACGTGTGTCAGTACTGTGTGTAGATTCATGAAGATGTTTTCAGCAACATTATTTGACCATGCCTCTATACAAGAAGTGATAAATTACCGTCAGTCTTGACTTCGTAATGAATTGCCATGCCATCAATAAGACATTTAGCATGGTTAGTCGTCCAATAATTGTCGATAAAATCTAGGGATAAAGTTCGACCTGAAATGCATTCAAGCGGATTAAAGCTATGTCAAGCATAGGATGATTTACGCAAGTATTCGAAAGGGCACCTCACCTGGTCTTACCGAAAGACTTCCCCTTCTAATTCGCAGCAGTGAATTAATCGAAGTAGGAAAAAACGACAGTATACATCTTTAGTAGACACGCGACTAATCCCTAACTTAAGAAAGGATTGACTGGATTCGCAGACCGTTCGATTGGATTACAGTTGCATTTATTTAACAACTGCTGCCTTCATCAGCCCAAGACCATTGAAACTGTGCTTGCAGTTAGTAAACGCAATACCCAAAAATTTGTACGCTTACTTACAGGTATTCCTGTCCTCTCGCTGGGAATTAAATTTTATTATTAACCGTTCACGTCCTGAATAGCGTTTGTCGGCCTCATTTCCGCATCACAAAGACCGTATGGCCTTAAAGGAGTTAAAAGGGAGGACAGCCAACTTATACATTTCATTCGTAAAATGAGCTCATATTGATGCCAGGGTTCGGACAAAACTCTCACGAAATACCAGTGTCGGCGAAATGCAATTCTATCGAAATTCAGGACAATTATTGGGATAGACGGTTTCAAAGTTACATGAATTCTGAAAGAACTCAAATATGGAGTATTCAAATAATCCACTTCATCCAAATATCAGTTTTACCGTGTACATCATCGAGCCTGAGCAGGTTACAACAAGAGGTAATACAATTTCATCTTTCACATTATTTTAAGAAGCATTTTTATCCTCTATGGGAGATTTATTTGCCTACCGGTGGGAAATTAGGAAACGCTTGCCCTACCAGTCTGTAATTCAATGATATCAGTCCTCATTCAGCAGCACAGTATAAATTTTGTTCTTGTGGCATGGACATTTCACTCTTAACGAATCTAGGTCCGTGTTGTTATTTCGTAAAACATATGTCCTTGAAAAGTCGACATACAAGCGTCAGCGTTAAAGTGCAGAATCTCGCGTGCTCTATGCGATAATTTGCACTGTTTGATGTCCGTCCGGGTCAGTTTACAATGATGGTTTAATTATGTGTCTTGGCAGATTTGGACAATCCCTAATAGCAAGCGAGCTCGCCGCGAGCCAGCGTACTCTGGGGGGGGGGTATTGGGTCTTTAGCCTGGTCGCGATTTGATTGGTTCCCGGGTCGGCTGCGCCGGCGTCGCGAAGGGCGCAAGCGGCCGCGCGTACTTGCACTTGATTATCGATTAGCTTCGGTGCCCGATAGTCCTCCGGCTCTCGCCGGTGCCACTTTTTGCTCTCCCACGCTGCACTGCGCATGCCGTGTCTCGCTCTACGCTGACATTGCCTACCCTAACTGTCTTTGTCTTTGTGTTCCCATGTGTCTCCTTTTACTCACAGTTATGTTTACTCCTGTTACTAGGCGTAAAATACGGCGTCAAGCACGCCGGGAAACTAAAGAAATAATAAGAAGAATCAGCGAAGAGGTGGGGGGAATGCCGTCGTCGGACACATCATCCGATAGTTGATCTGAAAGCGACACGGACGAGTCTATGTCTTCAACTTCGCTGGCGAACGAACGCTCTTCTTCCTTGGAGGGTAGCAGGCTGTCTACGGACGAAGAAGTTGGTTCAACGGCAGAAGTAGAGGAGGAGGATGCAAGCCCTCGTGAAAGTTTGCGAAAGTGGGCTTTACAATCAAAAATTCCGCATTCTCACTTGAACGATCTGCTGAAGACTTTGAAACCGTGGTTGCTGGACCGCCCTGCTGACGCACGAACGCTGTTGGGCGCGAAATACGTCTCTGCACCAAGAACGGCAATGGTCAGCGGTGAGTATATGCATTTGGGTCTTGCCACTCAGGTCAACGCGCATTTGCGTAATATAGCTTTGCCCCCTTCGGTATAAGAAGTGCAACGAGTTAGCACGTTGGGCGGTTACGACGAGCTGACGACAGGAGTGTCAGACGCGTCTTACAGGCGAAATTTGGTAAACAGTGTTTGTTAGTAATAATAACCTGATTCAGGTTGCCCACCTCTCGGCCATGGGGGGTGACACAGTTTCGGCCTTTGCAGAACGAATATTTTTCACCCTTTTTTCCGAGGACGTGGCCGAGTTCCTCACTTTTTACGGAAGAAAGCCTGGTACTTGGGCCTGATTTGACAGTCCCGTGTATTCTGTCATCCTGGGTAGGATTTGCAATTAGACCAAATAAACATTCACATTCTAGAGGTATTCAACGGGTGGAATAAAGACCACCGTTCGGACCGACAACAATTAGAAAATGCCTTCAAAAATGCATTTAAGAAGGGGCACGACCGCTATCAAAGAAAGTGCCATAGGGCTTCCTCCAGTAGGCAATCAAAAGGAACGTATTAATATATTGATGCTATTATTATGTAACATAAATCTTACTATGTTTACTTACCACTGCGAAATCTTTCCCTTTTAGAGCCGTCGACAAATATCACAGAACCCACCAATTACAACGGGGAGGAACAGGCATAACGCCTTAATGTATTAAAACAAAGATCAAACAACAACTATTTTTTTACAATACAATTATCCAAATCCAAACATGTCTTCCTATATTTGCCTTACGGGGAAAAAATGGGGTAATTAATGACATTTGGGCAGTACTAGTGAGGGGAACCCCTGGTTGGGTAAGCGCTGGAGCTCGTTTTTTGGAGCTCGGACACACCTCGGAACGACCTCGCTAGCCCGTTTTCCAGAGCTCATTTTGGGCTCGTTTTCGAGAGCTCCGTACGAGCTCCGATCGACGACCATTTCAGAGCTCCAGCAGAGCTCGCGTACCTCGCAAAACGAGCTCCCTGTGAGCTCATTCAGAGCACATTTTGCTATTAGGGAATTAATTTCACCCAATAATGTAATAGTTGACGGTTTCAATTGGATTCAAACCCACGAGTGCCGT